TTCCAATCTAAGAAAACTCAATTCCCGCCTTTTTGTCATCCGAGGTCAACCAGCCAATGTATTTCCACGCCTTTTCAAGGTAAAATACTTTAGTTTAAAATACCGCTATCAATCCTTGAATATGGTATCACAAAAGCACTTACAGTATTTCTTTCATTCGTCTGATCTCATGAGCGTTTCTGAAAGACACACATTCCAATTTAGTTTAATCCACTGCATTAACTTTTTTGAGTAACTATCCAGTGTTTGTGATCTTTTCCTACAGGAATGGAAAATATCCAGGTTGACCTTCGAGTATGACTCAGAACCGTTTGGAAAGGAGAGGGATGCAGCTATTAAAAAGCTTGCGATGGAGGCTGGGGTTGAAGTCATAGTCAAGATTTCACACACCCTTTACAACATTGATAAGTAAGCTTGATAAGCTTATTTCCTTAAATCTAAAATGTAAAGTTTTTGATGTTTCCTATACCTGCTTAATGTGCAACTATAAGTAATCCATTTATAGGTTGATTTTTCAAAAAGGTTTGACTCTGGCATCCTACTAGCCTGACACAGTAACCTTTGTTCAACCAAATGACATTTGAAGAGAGTTCAGGAAGCATGTTTGATATACATTTATTTTTAAAAATGGCAACCTTCAGCTTTAATATTCTCAACCTGTTTAATATCTAATGTCAGCTGCACCATTAATTTTGCTATTTATTTGCTAGTTGTTGCATTAAATTCTTGAAAGAACATAGAGAAATTGCTGTCTCACTATCTTAAAATAAGAGTTTTAATGCATGTGAATTGTACATGTGGGAAGGATGGTGGCAAACAGGAAGACCCTGACACTTTACCCTCTACATCATTTCAGGATCATTGAACTAAATGGTGGTCAGCCTCCCCTCACTTACAAACATTTCCAGACTCTGATCAGCCGAATGGACCCGCCAGAGATGCCAGTGGAAACCCTCTCCAACACTATTATGGGCTCCTGCGTCACACCTGTCTCTGAAGACCATGGGGACAAATATGGTGTGCCATCGCTGGAAGAACTAGGTGAGCTGAATGAGATAAAGAGCTTTATCTGTTGAGTTTAAAGGGATAGTTCACCCAAAAATGAAGATTTAAAAAAAATCATTCACACACCCTCAGGTTGTTCCAAATATGTATAAATTTCTTTCTTTTGTTGAACACAAAACATATTTTGAACAGTGTTTGTAACGAATCAGTTGCTGGTAGCTATTGGCCCTGTTTACACCTGGTATAAGATACGTTTTGGTTGATCCGATCGGATCACAATTATACAAAGGAGACACGTTCCTGTTCACACCTGGTTTTTTAATCCATCTCTTCTGTCCACTTTCGACCACTCCTATCCTGATTTCTTTTGAGGGGAGGGTCTGTGGGCTAGTGTATGTGGGCTTTTTCTGATCTTTCTATCTAATATTGTGAAGTAAGCTTGCGCAATTTACATATGAGCTGAAAGCTCTGTTTTTTTTTTTTTTTTTTT